AGTTGCATTAGAACTTCCCCTCTAACTTTCCAATTCAAAATAAATTAATTACCAAGCTCAGCAATGTAAAAATATGCTCCCCTAATAACCAATTTCAACGTTTATAATTGTTCTTTTTCGAAAACTGTAACTTAGCTTGTTTTATTAATTTTCAACACACCAAAATTAAAATCAGAATTAGACAAGGTCCCTACAAATTCAACTGTTTGACACAAAACTTAATTTTAAGACTATTATTGATAAAAAAAAGCATGAAAATGTTTCATCCTTCAAATTCTATAACAGTCGTTAAACAGCCGACCCAATTTTTGAGTTTGCGACTACTAATGTTTAATTCCGTAGCCTTTTCATTTTTAACCCTATCCAGAAAACAAGGGAACTCCTGGATCAAGTAATGTTTGAAATTTGCTTTCGTGGAAGACTTTTTGATGGAACTAACCTGCGTTAGCATTACATGGAAAACCAAGAAAGGAGAGGAAAACCACGAAAGCTTTCCACTGTTAGCCTGACTGCAAGGGGACTCTAACCCAGGATCCGTCTACCACTGAGGATATTTTACGTCAGCACTGTGGTCGGTGCAAGCCGGATTCGGAATTCGTATCGATCAGTCATCGCTGGGATTCGAACTCAGTTCATCTCATTGGAAAGCAAACGCACTACCCCCTTACCCATCACGGCTCTCAGTCATCACATTTTCTTTATTTTATAACCGTCGTTGAACAGCCGACCAAATTTTCAGTTTAAGACTACCAATATTCAACTCCGTATCCTTGTAATTTTGAACCCAGTCTAAAAGACAAGGGAACTCATGGATCAAATATTGGGAGAAATTTGCCTTCGTGGAGAACTTTTTGATATAACTAACCAGCATTCGCTTTACGTGGAGAGGAAAACCTTGAAAACCTCATACGGTTAGCCTGACGGCTACGGGACTCTAACCCATGATCCTTCTACCATTGAGGTATCATCATTGTGGTCGATGCGAGCCAGCTGCGGAATTGGAATCAGCCAGCTATTGCCGGGATTCGAACCCGGTTCACCTCATTGGGAGGCGAGCTTGAGCAACTGAACTTTATTTATGAAGTCGTCGTTCCGCCAAAAGAAATTTTGGAACCGATGTATTAGAATACAGTATTTTGAATCTGAAGAAGCAGTTGTAACGAATAAAAATAATTTTAAAAACTTTCAAAAAAATATTTCTGTTTTTATCACTAGCTTCTATTTTCTTGTAAGAAGTGACAACGACTAATAATTTAAATACTTCACTTAAAGTATTATTGCAGAGACAAATATTTAGAAATAAATCTCTATATCGTTTCACAGAATGATGAATGAACTATTCTTAATTAAGTTGATTACTCGATATCTAAAATAAGTTTAAATAATAATAATAAATAAATAATAATATAAACTGCGGTGTTACAAAAATAAGCTATTAGTTTCATTGTACAATATACATACAACCAAAAGAAACTGAATTGTCAAATTGTATTGTGATCAATCAAACTCGAACCGTTTCTATTTATAGTTTTCAATAAAATGATACCTTAGTTTAAGGTTGTAGGATTAGACAGTAAACAAATTTCATGGAACTTTAAGATTATATTGGCATTTGTCTTATCACATATTATACTTAACAATATCTCTATCTTATTATACTAAAGTTAATGCCTTATGTTAAAAAACAACGATACTATTCTAATTGTAATATTCTTAAGTAGTAGTAACAATTTAATTTACATAGCACGAAACGTTTCATGATTTAACTTGATGCTGCATTTCAAAATATATACACAACAGAAGCTACTTTAAATTTATGAAATATATTATTAAAGAGAAACAACTATAAAATCTGTTGAACTTACCTCTTTCACGATATTAGATTTGGACGCAACCTCTTTCACGATATTAGATTTGGACGCAATCTCTCTCACGATACTACACTTGGATGCAAGCGCAACCAAAATGTAAAATTTGATTTAGGACAACAAATGGTAAACAAATCACGATATTAGGTGCTTTAAGCATTGTAGTGTGAAAACAGATTCTCTTCACTATTTAGTTTAATCCCATACATTTCTCTTTTTTAAATATTCAAATAGTTAAGTTTTTACGAATGGCAGAGGTTCAAAACTTTTTGGTGCTAAATATAGTAACATTGTTTTGTGACCAAAATATTTCGCATTAATTTAACAAAACAATTTACTGTTTATACTGCAGAAACTTAACTTTCCATAGCTAATCAAACTACGCAATGCGAGCTGCGCAATCCAACACGAATTCAGTGACGTCACATTGCTGATGCTTAAGGTAGGTAGGTACTTTATTTACGTCGCACTAGAGCTGCACAGTGGGCCATTTTCGACTGTCAGGGAAACATTCCTGTTGTTGTTGTTGTTAATTTACGTCGCACTAGAGCTGCACAATGGGCTATTGGCGACGGTCTGGGAAACATCCCGGTTGATGATCCGAAGACATGCCATCACAATTTTGATCCTCTACGGAGGGGATGGCACCCCCGCTTCGGTAGCCCGACGACCTGCGCGTGAAGTCGAGCACTTTACGGTAGCACAGTTTAACGAGGACCAATTCCGCACACCCTCGGTCCCTACGCCGACTGATCCAAGTGGTCACCCACCCGCACACTGACCGCAGCCAGTGATGCTTGACTTCGGTGATCTGATGGGAACCGTGTCTTAACGATCAGTCCACTGCGGGACGGAAACATTCCTGAGGATGATCCGAAGACATGTCATCGCAATTTTGATCCTCTGCAGAGGGGATGACTCCTCTGCTTTGATAGCCTAACGACCTGCGCGAGAAGTCGAGCACTTAACGGTAAAACAGTTTAACGAGGACCCATACTGCACACCCTCTGTCCCTATACAGACTGATCCAAGTGGTCCTCCACCCGCACACTGACCGCAGTCAGTGATGCTTGACTTCTTTGATCAGCTGGGAACCGTGTCTTAACGATCACTGTAGGCCGCTGATACTTAGCAATATCGGCCGTGGGCACAAAAAAAGGACACCACTTCGTATAATCATTTTACCAATGATCGGTAATTTTACTTACTACCAGTTTGAGTCAATTTAGATGACCGAAACAGGAAACCTTATATTTATGCTAATCAATTAGTGATAACTATTAACCCTTTGACGACTTTAATATACTAATATTATACATTGTTATAAAATTCATTCATTCACAGTTAATTCCATTCAAAAATAATTTTTAATAATTATTCATTATATTTTTCAAAAGATTCGAAAGTTTTTTGAATTGTAAGGTATAGAAGTTTTTACGTCACATAAATTGGGCAAAATATAAAAAATTTGAACCATATCAGTTGAATCGCTCGAGAAAAATGAAAGGTTAAACTTGCATTTGTTTTGGAGATGTTATAACACAGAATCATTCGACCGATTTCGTCCAATTTTTTGTATTTTGCCATTTAAAAATCATACAGTTTAGAGTGAAGTAAAAATTTGCAAACCTCTACAATTAAAAATGCTTTCTATCCTTATTTAAAAAAAATTGTAAATAATTAGTCAAAATTATTTTCAGCATAAAATCATTTTAGGACAAAAAAATTTTATAATCGTCAGCAAAAAATTTCGATTCGATTAAAAAAATTCCCATATGATACAGCTATATACGCAAAAAGCGAAATTCACATTGAGAGGCTACAAGATTCGACCTTACTAATGATTAGACTGTTTACTTATGTATTTATTCAAAGTCAATATTCAGGATCGTGGTAGCCCAGTGGTTTGAGAATCAGACTCTAGTACGGAGAAGCTAGGATTCGATCCTCGATTCCGCTAAGATCCACCAAGTAAATTGATATACGTTCTCATATAATGTGTGGAACCGAAAGTTCTATTCTGAGTAGTACCATGGGTACAGGACTCTGGAGAAAATTACCTTCCCCATCAGATCCAAGTCTAAATTGAGGAAGTGGCTTAACGAATGAGTGGTACTGCCATCTATCCGTGAGGTTCTGAGCTAAGACATACTTTCACCCTTACGGTGCTCTCTTCTCAAACGAGAACGGCGCACCTTCCAGATTTATTTCTCAAAAGGCCAATAGCTGGCGAGTTTGGCTTGTCTGAGTATCATTGGAAACAACAAGACGATAATTTTTTGTGTAACTTCAAATACTGCCCACACAATCTTTTGTAACTATAAGGCTATATTCATTAGTACGGAAAAATCCGATCATTAGATCAAAAATTATTTAGGTGTTTCGTTTTATTTCAATTTTTATTTTACGCACAGTAAATTATTAATATGTTGTTAATATTAATATGTTAAACATTTATTAAATACAATGCAGTCTAACCCCGCTATAATGAATGAAATACAGGTTATAGCGAACGTTTTCAGTGGCCCATCCAAACTACTGTATAGCGATCTAACTTAAGTATAATGAACAATTAAGAAATTGGAAGTGCGTTTATAGCGGATTCTAATTTATTTTTTACGGGTATTCAAATAAATGATTAAAAAAAAATTTTAGTCTGCGTGATAATATCAAAAGTATGACTTTTAATTAAAAATGAAGTAAAGCACATTATAAAAAGGGTTTTAAATGAGAAATAATGATTCCAAAGACAGGCACATGAAAGATCTAATCGGTTGCCTAGAAATTTCAACTTTTAATTACAAATTTCCTCACTAAGGACGGAAATTAAAGATCTAAAAAATTCCAAAAGTAACGAAAATTGAAAAAATAAACAAATAAAAAACTGACTATAGGAAGACAACCACTTCGTTATATGAAGTTAACAATTTATAAAGCAAAGTATGTGCTATTGCAAGCACTATTTTCAACAATATAACTACAATAGGTTAATAGTATTTTTCCAAAGATTTTGGGTACAGTGAAAAATCGTTTGTAATGGATTTATTGCTAGGTTCGTAGACGTTTCTATCAATAGCGGGGTCAGACTGCAATAATAAACTAACATGTAAATTTAAGAAGAAAAGATTGAACTTACTCGATAAACATTTATTAAAACATGCTATCCAATACACGGCACATAACAATAACATCATGCAATAAATATACATATCGTCAGCTCTTGGAAGTTCACGAATATTACATTCTTCTGAAAATTTATACAAAATGTTTTGTTTTATTCCATAAAGTTCACATCTTCAAACATGGTTCCTTAAGGCCTGAACACAACACGGATTCATATGTTTGCTTTCACTAGTTGAATATTGAAAAAACAAATCGCAACGAAGCAAACTTAATTTCTCTTCAATTTAAAAGGGACTTTGGTTTTTGACCTCAATATCACTTTTTCATTTTACCTTTTATTCTTTTGAAATTAAGTTTCAGCTAAAAAGTTTAAATATGCTAGATTATTTCCACTTAGTTTTTTTTCTTCTTTTCATAAAGGGTGAGGGGTTTCTGTTCGATTGCGCAAGAAGAAATTTAAGATTTTAATTCATTTTAAGGCTATTTTTCAGTTTTGAATTAACACTCTCGAAGTTTCGCTGTTTGTTAATGAGGACCGATACCGTGCACCCTCGAACCCTACGCAGGCTGATCAAAGTGGTCACCCACCAGTTTACTGACCGCAGTCAGTGATGCTTGATTACTGGGAACCGTATCTTTACGATCAGTCCACTGTGAGATGTAAATAAAATGAAATGATTTAATGCTACATTGGTGACCCGGTACTATTTGATCCACGGTTCGGGGTTTAGAGAACACTGCAAATAATGCCCAGCCTCAGAAACTGGTCCATATATGAAAAACACATAGGTGAAAAAAGTGCATATTTTTTTACATTAAGTGGATATTTTTTTTCCTATTACCTACCACTTTAGCTTAAGAAAAGCACCAAGCGGTAACTTCAGATCCAAATATAAATGTTTGTATAGTTAATGCAGAACTATTTAATGTTTGCAAAATAAATCTTGAAATAGAGACACTTGTGCTACCACATTTTTCTTCTTTGAAAAAAAAAAAAGAACTGTCCTATTAAAAGGACGCTAACGACAAATGGGTTAATTGGTAATATGTATTTTATGCGTTATATGTATCTTAGTTATTTTATAGTTGTATTAACAGCAACAAAGCAGTCTCTTAATGTTGGTTTGGACTAGCGCTTAATGATGAAATGTGATTTGGCTCTTATTGGTATTAAATCACCTAGCGTCAACTACATTTATATTTTAATGGATCTGCTTAGATTCTGCTTGAATATTGTATCCATTCAGTCATTTTATGTTGTATGCTTGTAAGAGTTGAATTTCATTCCTGAACCTGCGATATTCACTTCCGCTGTCGGGAGCTTTAATCCCACTCTTCAGTTTACAATTGCAGTTTTTCTTATGAAGATGATTAATTGAATCCAACGTATTCAGATTTTTACAATCTTAACGTCAAGAACACATAATTAAGCCTACTTTTGGAACACGTCTCTGTTTTAAATTAAATTGTAAGTAATTAACAATCTAAGAGTGATTTTAAATATCGCACATGTGTGTGTAAGTTTCTTTGTTGTTATCGGTGTATAGTAACAGCTCTTTGGCCACATTTGAATGTTTTTAAAAACATTCCACATCACCAGCAACTGAGAAGGTGTCACACACAGATTACTTTGGAACACTGAAATATGGCGACAGGTACTCGTTATATCACATTTTGGAGGAAAAAGGGCCGTTTCTCACACCGGGAAAAAACACCTGCCTTGAACTTGGGGGTACGAGAAACGCCAGTAAGAACTGTTCAATCATTCACAAAAACTATATTCTGAAATCATCACCAAAGTGCAGCCGCTGAAATATCGATATTGATATCTTTAGAAGGTCGGTAGGAATCGAACGTGAAGTTGTTGATCCTCCTGAAACAGTATATGAAGTGTATTAATCAAAGAGTATGGCAATTAAAAGCAGTAAGCAATTTTTTCGATAATAGATTCTGTATTTAACAAGATCTTCATGATAAGTATAAACTCATTAGTTGTTGACGTATGTCTGTTAAGGCAGAGGAGTGCGATTGTTCTTGTTTTCCAGTGGCACCATCGATGGCGAAGAATTCATCTTATGCCACACCCATACGTCACGCCCGTTTATAGGGCAGACCCATTCATACATCCATTCATGCAGGCAAAAGTTTCAATTCTATTGAAACTTTTGCCTTGCAAAAGTGGAATTCTATTTTCAGAACCATGTCTGAATTAAAAAAGAAAAGAAAAAAGAAATATGTTCCAAAGTGCTAACCAGAGTTTTTGACTGAATTCCCCTGCTTAAAGAAATCTCAACGAGGGGTAAACTATGTTTTTTGTGAACTGTGCTGCTGTGATTTTAGCATCGCACATAGTGGAAAATGAGACATACAACATTTGGCAACGGAGAAGCATTTGAATCAATCACACCAACTTAGGCCATTCGGAATGGCTTAAGTTAGTTTATTACTGATTCATTAATTCATCCAAAATTCAGCTTTTACCTCATTTTAGTAAATTTGTTATTTTACAGATAAAATAACTAAACGAATTAAGAAACTGGTAATATGACTTGGCAAATTTAAAAGCTAATTTTTTCAAATTAAAAAGTCAATCTTAAGAATCACATTTGATTCCCGCAAATTCAAATGTTTTCATTGCTATCCAGGAAGAATTTTTCTAAATAAAAGATCTTTTCCTAAACAAAAGATTTTCATGTACAAAAGATCTTTCAAGAAATATCTTCCAGAAAAAGAATAGAAAAATCTCAAAGATTTCTCCGCTTGGCCTAATGACTCTTGTTTGTCCAAAGACTTTACTTATATCCCCTTTCAAGTAAAAAAAAAATCTGCAGTATGTGTCACAGTATTATAGAAATTTCTTTGGGTGAGACTCATCTCTATAGTTGGCCAGACAGCCAAATGTGGGCCGATGCCTTCCTCTGAAGATTTCTCCATTACGACTTCCGATTTATCTTAGCCCTCCAATTATTTTCATTAATAGCAAGAAAACCGCTGCCTCCCCCACTTTCTTGTTCCACTGGGTTTAAAAAGCAGTATCTTTTTTATTGCATTGTCATTACTTAATCGAATCACGTGGGTTATCGAATTCATTCGATTCTGCCACTGCTTATATTATCTTGACTGCACCGTCCTCATCTACACTTTTCAGACAGAATAGACATCTAAGGTTTCACAATTTATCCACTCTCGACTCAGACCCAGAATTTTGCCACTCCAAGTTTTGCCCCGTTTTATTTTATTTTACAAGAGTCGATGAACAGCCGACCCAATATTAGGGTTTACGACTACTAATGTTCAACTCCGTAGCCTTGTAATTTCGAACCCAATCCAGAAGACAAGGGAACTCCCATATGAAGTAGTAGGAGAATTTTGCCACTCCAAGTCTTGCCCCGTTTTATTTTATTTTACAAGAGTCGATGAACAGCCGACCCAATATTAGGGTTTACGACTACTAATGTTCAACTCCGTAGCCTTGTAATTTTGAACCCAATCCAGAAGACAAGGGAACTCCCAGATGAAGTAGCAGGAGAATTTTGCCACTCCAAGTTTTGCCCCGTTTTATTTTATTTTACAAGAGTCGATGAACAGCCGACCCAATATTAGGGTTTACGACTACTAATGTTCAACTCCGTAGCCTTGTAATTTTGAACCCAATCCAGAAGACAAGGAAACTCCTAGATGAAGTAGTAGGAGAATTTTGCCACTCCAAGTTTTGCCCCGTTTTATTTTATTTTACAAGAGTCGATGAACAGCCGACCCAATATTAGGGTTTACGACTACTAATGTTCAACTCCGTAGCCTTGTAATTTTGAACCCAATCCAGAAGACAAGGGAACTCCTAGGTGAAGTAGTAGGAGAAACTTGCCTTCGTGGAGAACTTTTGATGGAACTAACCCGCAATTTCGTTGCATTAATAGTAAAACCCCACGGTCAGCCTAACGGCAAGCTGAGTCTAACTCATGATCCGTCTATCGCTGAAGATCGATATTTCATTTTTATGTTAGCACTGAGGTTGGTGAGAGTCCGGTGCAGAGTTCGTATCAACCAGTCATCGCTGGGATTCGAACCCGGTTCACCTCGTTGGAAGGCGAACGCTCTAACCCCTGAGCCACCACGGTGCCAGTTTCGTTCCATTGGCGTGGGGAAAAACTTATTTTTCTCTGCGATAGTACGTTTCAGTAAGAAGTCAGAATAAACTGACGTGGGAAAAATGAAAACTTGCCGGAACCATGGATATGGAGAGGGGCAAAATGAAGAAATCACGTAATCTTGAGATGCCTTCTATTTACGAAGAATATAGGTTGGTATGCGCTTGTGTAACTTATCTTGACTATTTGTTGCCACCTACTTTATGAAACAGATGGTACCACTTTCCCCATATGCCTATCTTACCCCGATTCACACTATATATTTTTTTTAAAATTTTGTTGAAATGGTAACTTGTTTTAATAAAATCCAATCATTAAAAGGTTCACGCTGAGGAAAAAATAGTTAGGTAAAAATTCATTTTTTTAATATTTAACAGGTGTGATAGAAATTTATGGTTTTACGCGACCTTATGATTTGAAAAAATTGGTCCCAAACATAAATAAAAACTGCTAGTTATTTGGGTCCTTAAATTTCAGATTTCAACGTGATTTTTTTAAGGTATTATGCTGTACATCTATGCAAAAGTGTAAATGAAAGGTAATAAGCAAATGAAATGCTTATCGTCAATTGTTGCATCATATTTCCTGTTGATAAACTTTTTATTTATTTATTTTTTGTTTGCAACTGATCCGTTCACTCTCGGATTCGTTAATTTAATTATAAGCTTACGCCAATACACCAGTTCATTAATTTGCTTCCTTCATTTTCTCTATTTATTTACTCACTATGGTTCCGAGATAGTCTGGTAGGTAGGGCGATGGACTCACGTTCGTGAGAACGGGAGTTCGAATACAGCTGACCGAAGACACCCAGTGTAGTAAATAGTGACCGGTGCACGTTTAATCCGTCGGATCACAGAGTCCTCCATGTTCCCGTAGCAAATTATACCTCTGGAGGTACTGAATTGGAGATGGATCGTTCTCTGGTTCAGGTCAAAATTACGATCTGTGGATGAATGGATGTATGAATGGGTCTGCCCTTTAAGCAGGTGTGAAGCATAGGTGTAGCTGAAGTCCAAATCTCGGCCATAGATGGCGCTACTGAAAACCGTTGCCTTAATGGCTTACGACAACAACAAATTTACTCACTATATCAAGAATCAACAACAAATTTACTCACTATATCTATATATTTACTCACTATATCTATTTGCTTACACAGTGACGACGTTCATAAACAACTCTTTCACATCTGAATATTTTTGGAGATGGATTAAAAATTTAGTTGCCTTTTTTTGGAGAAAGGTTTATATGTTGGGGTTGTGGTAAGTTTACTGACATCATTTAAAACTAAACATACCAACACTTAATATATACCTATTTCTACCAGAGTCGGACTTTATGTTTCTTGATTGAATGTATGAAATATGGATGCTAGGAAGGAAATAAACCAAAAAAAAAAACTTTTTTATAACTAAACAAAATTGTATATTACCAATTTTTATGTATTACAAACACAAAGAATGCGTACTTTTTACATATACAGCGTGTTTCCATTGTACATTTTCCACAAACATATTTCTTCTAATTATTATTATTTCTGTAACTCTTATAATTATTCAATTATAAGAATATATACGAATTATAAGAATTATAATTCTTATAATTATTTTTATAATTAATATTATTTCTTCTAAGAACGTGTACTTATTTCGACATTTTTCTGGGTAAAAATTAACAATTAGTTAGGAATGAAGTAAAGCTATCAAAATAAAATATAAGCTACTTACCAAAATAATTAGTTTTTGTCACTTTTTCTGACACAAAAATGCCAATCTAAAATTTTAGGTACTGTCTTGAAATTTGAATTCACAGTTATTCTGATTGAACTGAGCACGCAACAGTCTTTGCAGAAATGTGCAACTAATCGAATGCAATACGTTGAACACGCATTACATTGTCATTTCTGATCCGATAACCTTATGAAGCAATAAATTGTTCTCCCGGTTAAATGACCAGTTGTGGTAGATATAGGTATACGACAAGTATTATTCGAAACAAACAAAATACAAAAAAAATATTAATAGAATATTAACTGTGTATAATTGTTAGAAAAAGTCATGAAGTCAAATGTGGAGGAACGATAAGATGATCAGCGTTTTTTCGATGTAAAAGTTCTTAAACGGTCGTTTGACCAATTACGGTATGTTTAGTGTTAAACTCACTCTTCTTTATTTTCTTTTTTTTCCCACATGAGTACAGAAAATCTCATTGACTGGAGATCTGCAGCTTTTAGAAATTCACCAAGTAAAATTTTAAAGTAAATCATCTTCAAGTGTACAGGTTTAGAAAATCACAAACAGGATATTAAATAAAAAAAACATTATCAAGTAACATACTCATATATAATTGTTATAGTTTCATTCAAACCAGTACATCTAAGTTGGAATCTATTCTATAATTATCTCATGATATCAAAGATAAATCACTCTTCTATTTATAGAATGAGCTTCAGAAATTTCTGGCGAGTATTTCTTAATAAATATTTTCATTTGTTTACATCTAGAAAGTTCTGGAAGTATTTAAATTACAGAACCGGAATATATCAAGATGAAGGAATTAGCTTATAGTTCACATAGAAGAATAAATTTGAGGGATTAAAATAGAAGTTAATAAAGTAAAAATGCTTTAGTGACTTATGGGTAAAACAAAAGAGGTAGAGAGAAGTAGAAGAACAACATAAGAGATGAGTTTATGATCGTACTTTTGATGAGACAATACTAAGGAGCCATTTCTGGAATAGTATCTTCAAGTTAATGAAGCGTATAATATATGTCTAAATTTTACAACAACAATCAGAGAATAAACAAAGTAACTATATTACAAATATTTGGATGAGAATTTATTTCTATGTCCGATGTGAAAACGATTATTTTGAGGGTAAATATATTAACAAAACACATGCAAACGATTTTTTTTTATATTAAAGAGCGTTATCTTAATTTCAATTATTAAAATAATCTCATTGTCTATTGTTCGAAAAGTATTAGAAGGAAATATTAAAATAATTTAGATACCAATAATATAAGGCAAAAGGTCATTTTTATGTTTATGTTTACTTCGATTTGTTTCATGACCTAAATGTTTTTGAGAAATGGAAGAGAAGGAAACTGAAAGTGAAGCACATCACCTTGGAAGATTATTGTTCTCCCCTAAATGAAATTCCACTGAACGTCCTTCCTATTATTGAACACCGACCTTCAGTCCCAACTATGGATTTTTATTTTCCTGATCCACTGTTCCGAATCAGCGAGCAATCATTATGAGGATCAACAACGATCAGGAAAGAGGATGATAAGAAAACGTCAATCATTTTCATGTTGAGTAAATGATAAATTGCTGAAGTCTGAATATTCCTTAAATGTTTAGGGATGAAAGGGGAAACTGGAGGGAATTGTAGAGCTTATAAAGCATAATGGAAGACTTTAGGGAATTTTTAGATAATCTTAGGGTATTTAGGAAGGGAAAGAAAATAGCAGACAACATTTTGAAGAATTTTTTTTATTAAATATCCCCCCCCCCAAAAAAAAAAGTAAAAGATTTCACACAAAAATTTAATATTCCATATAGCAGACCATGAACTCTCATTAAAAAGCAAAATATTGTACCTTTCAGGAATTTCAGTAAATATGTTCCGAATCGTTTGAGTGATTTATTACGAATTTTTAAATAAGGGTTGATATCTACAGAAATTTTATTAATAATATTAAATTTGAATAATTATTAAAACTTTCTGAAAGTTTTATATCTCAAGAATATGCAGTTACGTTTTCAGAGCTTAAAAACTCTTGTCAATTTATCTTCAATTGCATTTTCAGAAAGTATACCTCTCTTGAGAATATGCAATTATTTTTCAGAACTGAAAATTTTCAGTTGAGTTCCTCTTTTCGTAATTTTCTAGATGTATTAACTTTTCAAGTATATGTAGTCACATTTTTAAAATTAAAAACTTACAGTCGATTTATTCTTAATTTGACTTTTCTGAAAATACTTATTTTTCAAGAATATGCAGTCACATTTTTTAAATTAAAATAATTCAGTTGATTTATTCTTGCCTTTTTTTCATTTTCTGAAATTATTATACGTAAAAAGTATGTACTAATTATCTCTGAAGCGAAGGAAGTTCAGTTTATTTGTTCTTGATAGCATAATTTGTAAGTACAACGAATAGTTCCTAAATTTCCCAGGTGTAAAAAATTAGGAATATTTTTTGTAAATTGCTACTATTTTGAACTATTTTTTGATATATTTAAAATAGTGAAAATCTTTGAATGAAAATCTTTTGGAGTCAATATATTTTCCTTTTTTTGTTATTTTAGGATATAAAACATATTTTTCTAATTTTAATGAACGTAGAACAAGTATTGCATTGCTTTATATTTTTTGAAACGACTCGTAATAATTTTAAAGAGTAAAACATTGTTTTAGTTCAATATTTTTATTTCTATTTAAGTCATGTCATAAGGCATTTTTAGCGCAGTTTTCGCATTTTAAGGGCATTTTTTGCACTTTTAAGGGCATTTTCCAGGTTGTATGGGCATTTTTTAATCTTTTTAGGGGCATTAATTGAGATTTTTTAGGTCATCAAAATCCGGGCTCTAGTGATTACGATTTCACAAAATGAAAACTGTATAATTCATTAAAAAAAAAAAAGCACTTACTTGTTATAACTCTGCTCCTTCTGCGCAAATTTGCCAAAATTGCGCAGACTGACAGCTCTCTTTCCATCAATGATGGTACTGTAATCCTCCTCTTCGAATCCTTGATTCTCGAAACCCTCCTTCTTCACTGGTTGTTGTGCTGGTTGAGGGTGATTCTGTTTTGTTCCAGGCATGGGGTACCTTGCATAATTAAAAAATTTTTACAATTGCTGTGAAGTTTAAAGGTAAACGTAGTGGAAAAATATTCTAAGTGACATTTTGGGGAATTTAGGAACATAACCCAGAAAGCATGTAACGTTAGTGCTACCTTGTGTCAGAATTTTGTTTTGATTGCCACGAAAATGCTTGTAACTTTTTTTCAATTAAATCAAAAATATTGCAGTTTCAAACCTTTTATCCTAAAAGGATTAAAAATTATTTTTTAAAGCTTTTTTTATTAGGTATTGTCTCTTAAGGCCTGGTTTCTTAGGACAGGACGCCGTCAGCTGGAAATCAGCGCTAACCTCTGATTGGTCCATTTGTGAGTTTGATAGTATACGTCATCGAACGCTCATCTTGAACTACAATTGCCGTCCAACTCAACTGCAGTTGGATTACAACGTGACGTTAACCACAGAAGCAATGGCGGACAACATCCAACAGCACATTGAAATCAGCCAAGATTTTGATTTTGACATTAAACATAGCTTCTTCATTAAACATAGCACTCTTCATTTAGCTCAGCTATAATGTGTTTTTTCTTGGACAAAGTCATTATTTGTTCTCTAAAACACTGGTCGACAATAACAAAATCAATACAAATTCAAAATAAATATTTGTTTACGTTATTAACGCATGCGCAATGAGAGATAATGTCTGCGTTGGACCGACTGCTCACGCTGAGCTAACAAAAAAGTATTTTTTTGGCGTCAGCTCTACGTCAACTTTCCGCTGACGCCCAGATAAGGCGCTAGTTCTAAGAAACCAGGCCTTGAGCTAACAAACCAGTATTTTGTTGGCGTCAGCGGGACGTTGACGTCCCGCTGACGCCCAGATAGTCCTAAGAAACCAGACCTTGTCCTAAGAAACCAGACCTTTAGGTCCATAATGACGTTTTAGCTGACGTCACACTAGCGATAGGATCAAATTGCATCGTCCATTAACATTTCAAGACAAGGTGGATTTTAGCTAAGCAAACAAGACTTTGCGAAAAGGAACCTTATAATGACCTAGATTGAAGATTATTTTCACCTTGAGACTAGCTTTATTAAAGGATTTTTTCACACTTGAAAACCCTATGTTAACCTCGGTTTAAGATTTTTATATACAAGGTTGTTTTCCAAGGCTTTGGATTAGGGAAATGTCTGTAGAATAGAGCAGATTGCCACAGATCTCGTTTTAAAGTTAGAAGTTTTACACGTTAACAGCATAACAAACCTTTTTAGGTTTACATTAAATGATTTTTGATGAGTTAAAATAAACATTATTTTGCTATCTGGGTAAGCTTTATAAAATATAGCAGCAGTAGTAAGCTGAATAAGGCACTAATCACAAAAACGGACACACTATGCTTTCGGTTTTTATTTTCCTTAGTGATGAAATACAAATTGCTAGAGTAGTGTTAGAAAGGTAAATCGCGTGCCTTTTCAAATGTCAAACCTATTTATTTGTTTCCTTTTAATTAGTAACATAAACTATTGATTCGCTAAGATAAGGGTGTACAGATGAAGGGAAAAAATTGCTCTGACAACTCTTTCTGTCTCTCCTGAATAAAAGTCGCGCAATTAGGACCAAATCTGTGTGACAGATTTCTCTTCGAATATATCTTTAGCTTGGAAGTTCATTTTCATTTCCGGAAAGTTCACATTACAAAGCGCCAAGGACTTTCAGACAAGTTATTTGGATTTTGTTCACGATTCCTAATTCGATTCAGTTTGCGAAAGTTCGCTTTACAAAGCACCAGGAACTTTCAGACAAGCCATTTGGATTTTGTTCACGACTGCAAATTCGATTCAGTTTGCGAAAGTTTACTTTACAAAGCACCAGGAACTTTCAGACAAGCCGTTTGAATTTCGTACTCTCGCCAGAGAATTCAGGAAAGTATCTCCTAAATTCATTTTCTGAAGATGCAAGGAGGATGCAAGTGTGATCATATCATGGTTCCTTGAAACTAAGAAATTTCCCAACTAATTAAACTAAGAATCACAAGTCTTCTACCTTTAACCAATCTAAGTATCGCCGAAGCAACTGCTTTAGAGAATTCAAAATTTTGAGTGGTTTAGTGCAGTTTTTAGACATCCAAATGAACCATGCACTGTAATCCATACGAATGAGATCTGGCGAGTCGTCAGAAGATATCATGTCAGGAAAATGCGTTTTGCACCATTTGTGTGTCTTGGCAGGTGTTTTGTTGAAATGTCCAGTTTGAGTAGTTCACAAGTGCTTTTTGATCTGCGAAAGTATAGTTCGGCTTTCAGGAGAACTCCTCCTAACACCCGTCTCGCGTCGTGGCGGGTATTATGGTTACGAGGAAAGGTCACTTCGAATAGGGGTGTGGGGTGAATAGTTTTGTCTTGATCTTAGCGTAAGTCTTCGTGAGTAATCCAATAGACACCTTCTTTTCTCCATTTCACCCCCCCCCCCATGAGATATGTGCTCACGCTTGTTACCATAGCAGCAGACTGCCCAGTCTGGAGGAGTTCTCCTCAATGAATTTTGACATGAATTTTGAATTTTGACAATGTTTAACAATTGCTGAGGTATTACAGACCAGATACGAGCTTCATATCAGTGAAAAGGAATCTCTTTCAACACCAGCGCTGAAAATTTCAATAAGCTCTTCTGCACCGCTCTAGAATGTTGCTATTTGAAACCAGTTAAATAGATTTATCAGTAAAAGTATACTTGATACCGTGAATATCCGAAATCAAGAGAATGTCGACTTTCACCGGTGAATGTCAACAATCACATAGTCGCTTTGCTGAATATCCGAAATATTTGTTATATCCAATTTGATATTAATTTATTCGTTGATATTATTATATGTATTCTATACTTTAATATCTGCTGAGGATAAGATTAGGAGAAACCTCAGTGTTCGGAGTACCGGTTAAATGTGTACTGAAACATCGCACTTGACCTTGAAAACACATTGATGTAGGGCATATCGGGAAGTGGTCCTACATCAATGATTCTTTCAATGTTACACAATTGATGAAGTTCATCAATGTTAGACATCAATGTTTTACTTAATAATCATCAATGCTACACAATTGATGATTTTAAGTAAAAAGATGAAACTATGAACAATAAATAAATTAGATTATTTTAAGCCCTTTTTTAAAGGGAGCGCTAGAATATTTATCGTAAAATAAAAGGAATAGGGTAAACAGATGTTAACTTCTAGAATAATAAATATTAATAATTTAATTGCATCATTTTGTGGATTTCTTTAAAGAAATTGTTAGAACATTTGTTAACTAACAGGATAGGACGATTACTAATAAATAAATAAAATTATTTTAAGGTTGTTAAAAAAATAATTATTGAAAGAATAATAAAATAAAAATGGAAAGCATTACTTGTGGGGCATGTCGTAATCGACTTCTAGAATAGTCGAGAATTTATTGGGAAAAAGAAGATCTACAATGGCCACTGCACCTCCAACAAACACACATAGTGTACCTAAAATACAAAGTATGATTTTAAAAAATTATTCATTTGTGAAAGATTCCATTCTACATTTTTAACACATCAGATTAAGTATGATGAGTTTCATCTAATGTCATTTTCATCACGACATTATCAGACCAGATTCCTATCGGTCTACACATTGAGCTAGAATGACATCAGTTTAATGAATATTTTTCTGAAGCTCACGATTCTTATGTCATTCCAATGCAACGACTATTGACCTAAATGTAAATTGCCCAGTTTGTTCGTTAAGTAGGGGGAATTGTAGTCAAAGTAAAGGTCGAATAGAATGAAGAATAAGAAAAAAAATGATGAATCAGGTACAATAATGTAGATTATGCAAAATTTTGAATAAGACAGGGAAAATTCACGATGAGATATAATGATGGAAAATAAGTTAGAAAAAAAAAGAAAAATACATAACAAGGTACAATAATGAAAGACAAGGAAGAAAAATTATTTGAAAAAGAAAGGTTGAAAAAAAATGAAAAGTAAGACATAATAATGTACAGTAGGGGAGAGTGGGGTCAATTGTAACATTTTTTACTTAAGTATTTTTAACTAACAAAAAATCGAATATATTATTAGTATTAATTGACAGACGAGTAAAGTAGACTATCCTCTACTAGAAAAAAAAATACCTTATTTTAAATGTTATTATATTAGTTATTAACAATTTTTGACAGTCGTGCACTTGTTACAATTGTCCCCACTTACGGGGTCAATTGTAACAGTTCATAAATTCAACTAAAACATAGTTAATTATACATATTATCATAGTTGTGATATATTTTTTTATTGATCAAAATAGTAGTGATATTTTAGGAGTAAAAATAATAATGAGCAGAGACCTAAAGGGTTAAACTTTTAACTTTAAGGGGTTAAAAATTTTAATTTATGCTGTGAAAGGTGACAAATAAAATAATGCACATGCAACATAATATAAATGATATAGGAAACTATTGGTGGTTCTTAAAGAGTTAAGTAATGGTTTGTAAACATAAGATTATTTATTTTCAGCTGTTACAATCGTCCCTTTACTTATTGTTACAATTGTCCCCAAGACGCCATTTCAGCTTCATTTGTTAAAAACAATGCTAGTTAATTAGCAAAACTAATTTTTTTTTTATTGAAATGTTAATTAAGGTGTCCACTTACATATTCGGTTACTAATTTTTATTTGTTTAAACAAAATTACTTTGTTACAATATAATATTCTAATACCAAAAAAAGTACTTGCGTGGCGTGAAAATATCTTTTGTGATGTAACTCTTTCAAAAGTACATAAAAATGGTTGCCATCAGGGGTGTACATGTAGATTTATTAAATACACCTTGTGCGCCACCTAGGAACCAAATCTAGAACCCGACACTCGAAATTTTTGCTCTGTTAAAATCGTACCCTGTTACAATTGAGCCCAGTCTCCCCTAATATAGGAAATGTACAATAAAGCAGTAAAAAGAAACATAATTTAAAAAAGAAAGGAGAAAAAGAGAAAGTAAAAATTGAAAATATAATGTAATATAATAAAGAAAGATTTTGAACAAGATAGAGATCAATGCGTAATGAGGTATAATAATGTAGAATAGGAAAAGTACAGAATATGAGAGAGAAAATTCAGAATAAAATATTATGATGGCGAATAAGTTAGAAAAAGAAAAAAATACATAACAAGGTACAATAATGAATGATAAGGAAAAAAATAATTTGAAAAAGAAAGGCTGAAAAAGGAAAAAGAATATATATAATAATGTACAGTAATATAAGAAATGTACAATAAAGCAGTAAAAAGAAATATAATTTGAAAAAGAAAGGTTGAAAAGAGAAATGCGAGGAGGGGAATATAAGAAAGTAAAGGTCGAAAATATAATGTAGAATAAGAAAGAAAAATGTTGAAGAAGATAGAGATAAATAGGTAAGAAGGTATAATAATGTAGAATAAAAAAAATACAGAATAAGATAGAGAAAATTCGCAATAAGGTATAATAATGGAAAATGAGTGAGAAAAAATAAAAATAAACAACAAGGTACAATAATGAACGATAAGGAAGAAAAATTTGAAGAAAAAAAATGCAAAATAAGACAATGCACAGTAATATAGGAAATGTACAATAAAGCAGCAAAAAGGCGTAATTTGAAAAAGAAAGAATGGAAAGAAGGGAGGGTATAAGAAAAGATAAAAGAGAATGATGAGAAAAATGCACAATGAGATATTCCTTTATTGTCAATAATGTAGAATAAGGTAGAAGAAAGAACAATTCAAAATAAGGTAAAAATAATGTATTAAAAGGCAGAAAAATGTACAATAAGGTCCAATAGTATAGTATAAGATAGAAACAAGAGCAATTACTTAAAAAGGAAAAAAAAAATTGTTTTCTTGGACACATTTATTTATATTTATTTTGGTGAGCTAATTGATCTGCTCAATAATTTAATTTTTTCTGTTTTTCTTATCAGCTACAAAGCTTTATTCTTTTTCAGAAAATTTAAACATTTCCGATTTCCTTACCTATAACCGATATAAAACTAATTTTTCAGTATTAAATTATTGATCCCAAGTAACTGAAACAGTAAGATATTACCTGAGTAAAAACTACATTTGCTTCAGAAATATGTAAGAAGGAAATAACAGTCGACATGTTTCAAGCGCTCAAAAATAGACACTCATTTTCTTACCCCTCTGTTTATCGTAAAAATGTTGCTCCCTAATGTTAATTCTAATCACTAAGGCCCGGATTTTGATGACATTTGCATTTTTTTGCATTTTTTGCCTTTTAGAGCATTTTTTTAGATTTATAGGGCATTTTTCTTTAAATTTTGAGGCGCATTTTGCATTTTAAAATTTTTTTTAAGTTTTTTGTTAATTTTTTCCAATTTTTATTTTTTTTAATCAATTTTTATTATTACACTGGCTTCCAAACAATGAAGAAAATCTCTAGGATATTAACAGGTGAAGCAACATCTTTTCAAATTGAAGAAGAATTGTCAGTAAGTGAAACCGTCTTTTTCAAGTACGCACCAATAACATCAGTAGACGTTGAAAGAAGCTTCTCCAGGTATAAAAATTTACTTTCAGACAGGAGACGCTCGTTTACATTTCAAAATATCAAAAAACATTTAATAATCCAATATAATTCTGATATTTGGTAATATTATGAGATGGAAGTTGTTATATTATTCATTAAAGTTTCTATACAAAATGAAAAGGTTTTGGAGTCAATATATGCTCCTTTTTTTGTTATTTTAGGATATAAAACATATTTTTCAAACTTTAACGAAAGTAGAACAAGTATTGCATTGCTTTATATTTTTTGAAATGACTCATAATAATTTTAAAGAGTAAAAACATTGTTTAAGTTCAATATTTTTACTTTATTTATTTCATGTTATAAGGCATTTTTAGCGCAATTTTCGCATTTTTAGAGCATTTTTTGCACCTTTTAAGAGCATTTTTTGCACTTTTTAAGTGCATTAGTTGAGATTTTTTAGGTCATCAAAATCTGGGCTCTACTAATTACCCAAATTCTCAAACTGCTACATTTTGTACTTTTGCTTTCCGCTCGCTTAACTTTTGCTCTAACTCTTCTTCTTTAAATCCCGAACTTAACTTCCTCCTCTCACATTCTGCTAACCGTGAATTTAACCCTTCGACAGTTGATTCAGCTTTTGCTTAACTCACAACACCCAGACGCCACTTTTTTTCTAATCCTTACAGAGAACTTGCTACTTTACCGTTTTTTATTCCCTTTGTTATAAAATTGCTAATATCCTCTTCCATTTTGGTTTTAAAATCTTTTTTAACAAAATCAACTTTAAACCTCTTAAAGATCCTATTAGCTTTAATAATCGTTTGGGCATTTACCACATTCCTCCTCAGTGTGACTTTGGACAAGCTTGACGCGCTTTAAAGTTTAGGCTTAAGAAACACGATAAATATGCCAGTTATCAAGAATACGAGAAGTCATCAATTGCGGCACATTGCTGTAATCTTGGACATAAATTCAATTTCAGCAATGCCAAAATTATTTCCTTATCAGCTCATCTTGACGCCTTGGAATCTTTTTATATATTCACATGAATGCTGATTCCTTTCGACATGAGTTCCTCACCACCTCTCCAAAGCGTTTACCATGATTTGTTCCTCTCGACTACTGCAGTTTTTCTAGATTAGTTTCTCACCTTTATTTGTTTATTTTTGTTGGCAACTGTGCGTTTAATATTTCAAATCACTTTAGTTTCTTTTCTTTCTTATCTGGCAAGTCTTGAAAATGGAAGCTTATTTTTGAGCGCTTGAAACATGGAATTTGTTGTTTCCTATTTATATATTTCTGAAATGAATGAAGTTTTAATCTGGTAATTCTAATTTCTTTTGCCAAACAAACCAATGAAATAAGAGTTAAAATAATGAAAGGTATAAATTTTTGTGCGATTTTTTCAAAAAGGTATTTTTTTACGTAGTTTGTAAAGTATGTAATAAAAACTACTTATAAATAAATATTAACATCTTATACGTGAAATATAAATCACAAGTTCCACTGTCTACCTGATGAACATAATATTTTTTTTAAAATACGATTTTTGAAAAATAATTTTGACCGAAAAAATACATTATAAGAAAGTTAAAAAAAATCTTAAAATTTATTTGTGAACAAAAATTATTTTCCCAATCTAATACACACTTTAATATTTTAATTTATGTTGATTTAATGTTTACATTCAAAGTGTTTTAATAGAATGTGTAAACTACAAATAGAAAAAAGAACTCATTTTTCAAAAATTTCATTACCATTTGTTCAATCTCTAATTTTCTTTATTTCGTTGTTCGGGAAAAAAAATGCCATTTTGGTTCCAAAAAAAAAAAAAAAAAATACCAGTTTAATATATTTCATATTGAAAGGCATTTAAGTGAATGTTTTTCAATCGTTTTTAAATCAGCCCTCCTGCTACTACTTGATTAGAATAAAAATAAAATAATATGAATGATCATTCAT